CATGTCAACATGTGAGTCCCCAAAGAGGGAAGAGAGCCTTTGTTCGTCTCTTTGCATCTACCTACTTTTCTTAAAGCACAGCAGTGAGTAAAATGTTGTGTCATTTCCAGCGTTACATCTCATCTGCAATAACACATTTATCACATAAACCTTAAGGTGCCCTAATGTTACCAATCAGAGAAGGTACCTTTACTAGTTCACACTGTCAAACATGTGCTGAACTTTTAGATTTGGTCCTTTTTAAATGAAGGCTTCTGGGAATTGTATTTGGCAACTACAGGCTTAGCAGCAAAGTTTGATGATTTTGGCTGCTGTGTGTCATATAACAAGTCATGACAGACATCCAGTGGTTTCCTCAGAGTGGGATGCTTTCTTTATGGTAAACTATTTACTGGGCCTAGCTGTCGGGAATTCAACTTCTCAATTAAACAACTAGAAATGGAATTCAAATCACAGTACAAAAGAAAACTCAGATTTTCCCAAACACACAGATAATGAAAAGTTTAGCCTAGACACTTAACTCATCTGACTTTCCCTCACAGAACATAAGTGTCCATTTGGAAAGCTCTGCCCCTGCAGAAGTTTCTCTATATAAGAAGGTCTCATGTGATACATGGCTAGGCCATGTTCCAAGCATTCATCCTTATGGAATGAACACAGGTAAATTTCAGTCTGGAAACAAGGCAGTTCAAATTGTCGACTAGTTTCTTCTTATTAATTCAGTGAAAAGTTTGAAAGGGTTTAAACCACATGTCACAGATTCCAATCTCCAGAAAATTAGTAAGAAAAAAAAGGAAAAGTATGTCCCATGTATATTTTAAAAATATTTATTATTTTTATTTTATCTGTATGAGTGTATTGCCTGCATGTAAGTACACCAGTGTCATGCAATGCCTGCAGAGGTCAGAAGGCAGCATCGGATCCCTTGAAACTGGAGTTATGGACAGTTGTGAGCTGCCATGTGGGTGCTGGGAATTGAACCCAGCATTGAACCATGCATTCTTATCACTCTAATATTGTAAGTGCCCATTTCTGAGGGTTCACTCTACATGGTACCAGTTATCTTCAGTCAATGGGGTTCCCGAAATATTAAATAATACATTCCAGAAATAAACCATTTATAGGCTTAAACAACTTTTATTGTAATCTTTATAACTATTGTACCTGTTATTGCTAATCTCTTACTGTATCTAATTTACAAATTAAGTATTATCATAACTAGAATGTATGAGAAGAAAAGTCTACACAGGGTTCAGTATCGTCTGAGCTTTCAGACCTCCATTAGAGTTCTTTGAATGAAGATTTCCCATGGGCTAAGAAGGGACCACTACATTCCCCCCACCTGCCCCCCCCCACGCTGTTCCCCGGTTTTTCTGACCAAAGGATTTTTCACAGAGTGACAGAAGACTGTAAATGAGAATCTGCAAGGCTGGGAAGCCACAGGGACCCTTTCCACAGGAAGGCCTACAACATGGTTCTAGCATATCAACCTTCCTGACCAACTGCACATAGGCTTTGGGAAATGAATTCTTCCTCTCCCCTACTGGAGTCCTTTACTTGGGTATCTTTAAGGGCATGAACATTCAAACTGTGAAAATTACAGCTTGAATACAGAGAACTTGGGGATTTTTTCCAGCATCTTCCTTCTTGCAAAAGCATTAATCTGTTAGTGAACAGAAACTTCAATATCCACTTCTTTTGTTTTGATTTATGACAGGCTCTCACGATGTAACCCAGGCTGGCCTCAAAGTCATAATCCTTCTGTTGCAAACTCCAGAGTACTAGAATTACAAGCATGTTCCACTACACACAGCTTAGTATCCACTTTACTCCTAAGAACGCCTGAGTCCTTTTTATCTCATGGCTTTGGAATGAAAAGACATTTGTTTTTAGCCCACTCATCTAACTTAGGACTCAGGAAAAACTTTGTTCACCTGACCACAGTGTTGAAGCACTATGAATAAATTCCCCATGAAAATCACACAAATGTATTCTACTGCTTATTTTCCATACATTTAGCAGGCTCGGGTTACAGTTAGAGTAATAAAGAATTATTCGTTAATCTTAAGCATATGCTACTTACTGCAATATTTTATCATCCCATTAGGAAATTCTCTATCCTTAAAAACCTCTTTTTGTGCCAGGCATGGTGGCACAGGCATTTAATCCCAGCACTCAGGTGGCAGAGACAGGTAGATCTCTGTAAGATCGAGGCCAGCCTTATCTACATAGCAAGTTCTAGACCAGCTGGGACTACAAGGAGACCCTGTCTCAAAAAGACTGAAAAAAAAAATCTCTTATTGTTGGGCTGAAGAGATGATTCATTGGTTAAGAGCGCTGGCTGTTCAATTCCGGGGGGTTCAATTCCCAACATCCACATGGCACCTAACAACCATCTGTAACTCCAATTCCAGAGAATCAGATACCTTCTTCTGGATGCCATGCGTTTGCAAGGATGTGGTTCACTTACTTATATTCATGCAGGCAAAACAGTCATACACGTGAAATATAAAAATAAGTCATTTTTTTAAATCTCTTGTAATTACTTCAAGGGCTACCTCAACTGCTTGTGAAGTTAAGAAAAATAGTACTAACAAGCTCAGAGAACATAATATAAAGCATTTCTGATGAGCCACAGCAAATTCAGGGCAGAGGTTTGGATAGGTATGACTTTGACCTAAGTCTCATGTATGTAGTATGCTGGGGAGTTTCTTCAAGGGGAAAAAAGAAAAGAAAAGAAAATAGTTGTTAATCTTCAAAGAAGTTTTTGTCTCCACATTACAAAGCAAGGGTGATTGCCCTTCAAAAAGAGGACCAGGCTGTCCATTCAGCTATTGTTGCCCCCCAGCTCATATACTCAATAAAAGTTGGCGAACACACTTAGGAAGAGCCATTACTGCCTACAAATATCGTTAAATGGTCATAGCTGCATTTCTTCCTCCAAGGTCTCATTGTTATCTAGGAAATGATTTCATATTTCAGTCTCCCAAATCATATCAACCACAAGGATTGAGAAAATATTTTCCTTAAAGAACTCCTGTTCTGAAATCTCTTTTTTTTTTTTTTTTTTTCCAAAATATCTTTTAGTACGGTCCCAGCCTCCTCAGCTCACCATCCCAGCTGCACAGCAGACTCTGAAGAGTAACATTACCCAGCAGAATCTACCATCGGGGAGGGGATACGTGTCACTGGCAGAGGAGAGTTTAAATCATTGTACAGTGAGAGCTACGTTCTGGAGGAAGAAGAAACACCCTGGGTGACCTCTTTGAATTAATTAAACAACAACAACAAAGGAAGGATTACATCACTGGGATATTTTGACACTGGGGCAGGGGAAGCACAAACACACCAAATTGTGTGTGTTAAAATTACTGTTTAAACTTTCCAGCCTTGAGAACCAGTAGGGTCCTGCTAAACCTCCATCAGTGTAGGAAACACTACATCACCACTATAAAGTTTAGGCAAATGGAGAGTTATAAGAGTGCAATGATTTCATCATGCTTTATCACCAGCAAATCACGTTCCCTTCAAATTTCAGTCTGCTTTGAGTTAACATCAAAGAGAATTCTGAACCCCACCAACTGGCAGATAAAGGAATTTCAACTGTTCTGATACCATGACTCTAAGTAAATCACTATTAACTTCGTACTTTCCAACCTACTAGTCAACCAGAAACGTGGTCAGAATTGCTGATGAAATTAGATCATAACATGCCATGCTTTCATCCCCCAAGCACAGCAAGTTCCAAACTGTAAACAGCTTTGATTCATATTAGCATTTCAAATATAGTTTCTAAAAATTAACTTCAGGAGGCAGTGAGCTGATGGTATATGACTTAACAAATATTATTACTGATAGAACGTTTCCTTCCATGCTCTGAAAGTCACACCCTGCCATTGAAGACACTATATTTTCCACCTGTTGCAGAAAACTGCTACCCAAAATCCAAAATGTAAGAGTTTCAAGTTATAATCCATTTCTCTTATATCTAATAAGCTGGGATTACATTTACAGACTAGTGAAGAATTAACCATTCATCTTAAGAATAGGTTAATTATTATAATATTCCATTAGGAAATTCTCTATTCTTTTTTTAAAAAATATTTTACTTGTTATTTTATTTTATGTGTATGCGTGTATTGCTTGCATGTAGGTAAGTGCACCTGTGTCGTGCAGTGCCTGAGGAGGACAGAAGAAGCTGTCGGATCCCTTGGAACTGGAGTTACCGGCGGTTGTTAGCTGCTATGTGGGTGCTGGGATTCGAACCTGCGTCTTCCGCAAGAACAGCCAGTGTTCTTAACTGCTGAGCCATCTCTCCAGCCCTGGAAAGCCTCTATTCTTAAAACCTCTTACTGCTACTCTGTTGGTAATTACTTCAAGTACCAACTCAATTACTTATGAAGCCAAGGAAAAAAAAAATTTTTTTTTTTTTTTTTTTTTTTTTGGTTTTTTTGAGACAGGGTCTCCCTGTAGCCCCAGCTGGCCTGGATTAGCTATGAAGACCGGGCTTGCCTCCACCTCACAGAGATCCACCTGCTTCTGCCTCCTGAATGCTGGGATTAAAGGCGTGTGCCACCACTCCCGGCCCAAGGAAAATATCTTTAATGGCCCTTAAGGAATATAGTATTAAATACACAGAAGACGCAGGGTCCTCTCATAAGGAGGAAGGTATTTTGATCAATTAGCAGAAGTGCTGGGAATGATTAGAATTCATTTAAAGCAATGGCCTAGATCATTCCAGACGCAGGTAGTCGTTTAACCACTTGCACTAATATTCGGGAAAAGAAGGCTGTATCTAAGCGGACAAAACCGTTAGAAAGGAACAAACTCATGCACCCAACCCAGGAACTGAAGCCAAGCAACCTAACGGTTTCTTAAAGTCGGCTCAATAACGCGCTGACGTCATCAGGTTCATTGTAAACCATGCAGTTAACGGTCGAGTCCCGTCGTCTTGCACATGAAATTATCAGAATGAGGACATTTCAGAATAAATCGGGTACCTGAGAGTTTCATGAGCAGTTCCGAGGCGGCCTGGATGGACATGTCTCGCCTTAGCACATTCCCCTTCCCTTCCGGGGACTTTAGCGGATCCTCGCAGATGGTAGGTGTCGCCACTTCTGGTTCCGGGCTGAACACGTAGCTGGACCGAGGCAAGGCCTCCTCTTCCTTGGGCTCCTCCTTCACTTTAAAATTAAGATTCATAGGCTCCTTCTGGTTTGCAGCTGTCAATAAAAAAGAAAGGAAAAAGGGAAACAAGAATTATATATTACTATAATTATATTAAGCCACTCCCCCTCTGAACTGCCTCATAATGAGTGTGGAAGACAAAATCACCTTGTGCTTAACAGTCAGGGGGGCCACAATCTGACCAAAATAGGCTAGCCCTGAGCACATCCCTGTGTTTTTATATAACGAGACTTGGACTCAGTTGGGTGTGGGTTTGCATACAATGAACTTTGAGACAGTCTCTCTGTAGCCCCAGCTGTCCTGGAACTCATTATGTAGACCAGGCTGGCCTTGAACTCACAGAGATCTGCCTGCCTCTGCCTCCCAAGTGCTGGGATTAAAGTCGTGCACCACCACGCCTGGTGAACCTAAGTATTTTAAGAAGTGCCGTCTCTACAAAGTATTGGAGCATTTTCTCCTTCCTTTACCTAAATGTCTTCCTGATATATGTTGTCACCTCCCTGACCTATTAGCATACTCTCCAGCTAATTCTATTATAAAATAATGGCTCAGCCAATTATTCTGCCATCAAATACTGAATGAAGTCATAAAGTCATGTGTTAAAGGCAATACCCAAAGCCAATCTGCGAATGAGGAAGGCTGGAGATCAAGACTTGAGATCCACCTTGCGCCACCATGTTCCTCTGGTGACCTGTGGACTTGTACTGACCCACACACAGTGCATCATGTACTCGGCACCGGGTTTTTGGTCACTGAGACTAAATCTATATCTGCAGCCCATGTTCTTCACATCCAAAATGGGCTTTAAGAAAAAAACAATATTTTGGAACAATTTTAGATTTATAGAGAAGTTGCAAAGATGGTTTAAGAGTTTCCACACAGACTTCACCCAGCATTCCCCAAGGTTAGTATTTTAACTAATCACCATATATATGTCAGAACTAAGAAATTCATGTGGCTATGAACTAAACTCCATATTTTATTCAGATTTCATCTGTGTCTCCACTAATACCCTTCTTCCATTTTTAGCATGGGCAGTTGTTATGGAGAGAGTGGTCAGGATGGATTTTGTGGCCTAGCTACTGTGTGCCAGGCCATTCCCTTGGGTACACCACACAGGAAGAGCCACAAGAGAGAGACAGCTCCCCCTAGGTCCCCCCCACACTTTCATTGTCACAGCCCCCCCCATCAAAGACCCCTGTGGTGGCTTGAATGGCCATTCAATGTGTATGTCTTTTTGAGAATTCTCTTTTGAGAATTCTTTTTTTTTTTTTAAAGTTCATTTTTGGTTTTTATGTATGTTTTACTTGCATTTATGTATGTGCACCACATGTGTGCCTGGTACCCTCAGAGGCCAGAAAAGGGAGTCACTGATGGTTGTGGGTGCTGGGAACCAAACTCCTTTGCAAGAGCAGCAAACACTCTCAACCACTGAGCCATCTCCCTGGCCCAAGCAGAACTTTTAATAACTCTTCTTAGAGTGAGCCTATCCATTCCATCTTAATAAGCAAACACAAGGAAGTAAGTCCTGAAGCAAGCATCTTATGCCCTGGTCTAATACACACATGTAGTACTTTTTTCTATCTCATGCCCCTCCAAGGATGCATGTTCTATTATTGCCAGCATTTTTGCAAACTGGGCCCCAAAGAACTATAAGAACATCTACAAGTCTCACCACTACAACTATGCAGGGCTGGGAGTAGAACCATGCATCCCTGACTTCCATACCACATCACCACATAATGGCTGCAGTGTTGTAGCAAAACCCAGGCTTCAAGTCCTTGCTCAGATACCACCTGCTCAGTGAGGTCTACCCTGAGCATTCTATTTGAAACTGTGACCTTTACCTGATTGTACCCCCAATCTTTCTTACCTTGCTCTAACCATTTTGTTTCCCCAAATGTTAACACTTGCCATCTAACAACATACTGTTATGAACTCTCCAAATTCATATGTTGAACCTCCAACCTTCCAATGTGACTGTGTTTACAAAGGAAGGTAACGAAGGCTTAAATGAAGCATGAGAGTAAAGTTGTGATGCAACGAAGTGGTTCTTTCTAAGAATCATCTCTTTTTCATCTTACAAAGAGAGATACTAGGAATATAGCTACACAGGAAAGACCACATGGGGACAGAGAGAGGAGGCCATTGAAAAACTGGGCAGAGAGGTCTCAGGACAATTCCATCTTGGGTTCTAGCCTGCAAAGCTGTAAGAAATGCATTTCTGTTGTTTAAGATGCCCAGTCTGCAGTGCTTTGTTATGACAGCCCTAACAGACTAAACTAATCACATACTGTATAATGTTTTCTAAGTTATTATGGTGGTCCTGAACAGTCCATTCTTTGAACTCTAACTTCATGAAAACACTTGTCTTTGTTTTAGAGCTTGTATATGTCAAGTACACAGGACAGAGCACATACAGGGGGCTCAATACATACTTGTTGAGGGATAAAATGTGTTGGCACAAAAGTAGTGACATCTCACAGCATTCTAATAATACCCGTGGTTAACAAAAATGAAGAACTCCAACAATACCCACTAAAAGCAGTCAGAAATTCTTTCCCTGGGTTTATCATTATACTAAGGGTAAGATCTTTGAGAAGAAGTTTAAAGTTTTGCTGTCTACCTACTGACAGTGTTCACTGAGATACCGTTGCACAACCAGGGAAACTCTGGTATCACCAAAGGACATGTCCAGAAAACTTCAAGGGAAGTGCATAAAACCTAGGCCTTTGGGGACAAAGCTGTCAAAACCTAAAGCAACAGAGACAATGACAAGTCTCTAGAGTGATCTTCAAATAGATGTTTCCTACTTCGTCCAGGAAGGTTCCTCCTAAAAGGACTTTGTTTACTTAGCCCACTTCTTCCCTTTATACTTTCCAACCCCTGTCTGGGGAGTGGGGGTGGGGATTGTTGGTGGCACATGAAAGCTTGCCCTTTCCATCCACCTTCTTCCAGAACCTTTATGAAATCCTTTCCCCAGTGCATCCAACTCTGTCACGACAGAGTAATCAGCGTGTTTATTCTGTGTGTGCCTCTTGATTCTTTCAGAAGGAATAATTCAAAGTGAATGGTTAAGCATCTGAAAATTGCTTCCGTGCTGTATCCTCTATTTAGAAGCCTGTTTAACCTTCTAAGATGAGGCTAGGAAAGAGAAAATATTGAGGCAAATCCCAGTTTCCAGAGGGGGTGACCATGTACAGCAAATGCTCTCATAGTGTGAATGCTTCCAGGAGCATTAGAAGACAAGCTACATGAGATTCAAGAATAAAAGAGAGAAATTAGCATTGTTGGAGCAACCTGAGCTCCACAGGTCTTAATAAGACACTTGGAAACAACAGACAAGCTGTGCGCTGCTGTGCTATAAACACTTGCAAGGCGCTGCCTTCCTGGTCTTCATTCTGACTGTGTCAGCAATGACATAGCTTTGTGACCTGCTGATGAAGTGTAAATCTAGCTAAAGATACAACAGAAATGCATGTGGCAAACACTCATTTGCCTAAGTTTTATTTCCCAAACATTTGGGACTAAAGAGAAAATGCAGAAACAGGTATGAAGGCCAACCTGCTTTCTTTCAATTACCAGAAATATTTTCATTGAGAATAATACATGAAGTCTGTATTTTATAATTAATGTGACTGAATAATTGCCATCTTTTAAATTATGCTCCTTTTAAAAGGCCCACATGTGCATAGAGAGGTAGAATTAAAGATGTTTTCCTTTTTGGGGGGATGACTAGGAGAAAAGCAAAGACTCATGACTCACTGTGATTTCGCTTCGTTCCTGTTACTCACACAGAAAGAGCTGTGCATACACATGGAACTCAGCTCACAAAGGGCTTCACAGCACCTGCCTTGACTTCTGTTTATGGATCCCAAAGTTGCCAGATGCTCCACATTTAACACCATGAGGAAGCCCCACTAATCAAGAGGCCCCATCTCTCTTGCTGCTAGTTCCAAATATTTTAGGAGCTGAGCCACTACAATTATAAATCATTACATCTGCAGGTTCATGTAACTGATGGAGTGGGGCTGTCATTAAAAGAAATCAGATCAGTCTCTATGAGGATGTATAATCAACTCAAAATAAAGACAAACGGAAAGAAAAAGGGGATGGGGGGCTGGAGAGGTGGCTCAGCGGTGAAGAACACTGGTTGTTCTTGCAGAAGACCTGGGTTTGAATCCCAGAACCCACATAGCAGCTAACAACTGTCTGTAACTCCAGTCCCAGGGGATCCGACAGCCTCTTCTGACCTCCATGGACATTGACACGGGTGCACTTACCTACTTGCAGGCAATACACACATACACACAAAAATAATTAAAAAATTTTAAAAAGTATACTGATTATTTCCTTTAAAAAGAAAAAAAAGAAAAAGAAGATGGATAAAATCATTCCACCTGTTCGGTTCTAAACAGTGTGCATTGACGAGTTCCAACGTTAACCCCACTGTACAGCAAGGCATCGTCGGTCCATGGGAGATCCCCTCCAGGACTCCTTTTCCCTAAGGAAAGTTCCATACAGCTTCTTTAAAGAGCATACTTGGGTGAGTAAGATGGTTCAGAGGATGAAGGTGCCTGCCACCATGCCTGATGACCAGAATTCAATCCTTGGGATCCACATTGTAAAAGAGAATCGACTTCCACAAGTTGTCCTCTAACCCCCACACATGCATCATGGCACATGACACATGCACACTAAATAAAAAGTAAAGACCATCCTTTAGTTAATCATGAACATAATTAGCATTTAAATAGTTACAAGGTGATGAAGTCATCTTCAAGTATACAAGGAAGGATACAAATATTTTACAGGAGAGGAAACTAAGGCCTCCAGACTGAACCCCCTAAACCACAGGGCTAAGATAGATACCCTAGGCTCCAGAGCGTCTGCTGAAAATGCAGAGCCTTTCCCTTCCTCTCCGAAATACTAGGGTACCTTTAAGAAGGACACTGACCTAAACAGTGCACCCTGGGACTTTGAAAATAAGTAACTGGGAGCCAAGTGAGCTGGAAGAATTGGTAATGACAAAGGG